GTTGTCTCGAGTAGCTTTCGGATTGGTATGCAGTACCTTGAGTTTCCGCACTTCCAAAAGGTTTTCATCGTCGACTGGATCGTAGGGTTCAGCATTCCAAAATTCTTCATCCTTTCATAACCACTGCGGTCCGTTAAACCACAAATCAAACGATACAAGTTCACCTGGAGTTAAACCACGAGATGCACAATCCGCTGGGTTGTCTTGACCGCTCACGTGGTTCCAGCGATCACGAGGTAAAAAATCCAGGATCGCAGAAGTACGGTTGGCTATGTACGTTTTCCACTTGCGAGGATGAGCAGACAACCACTGAAGAACTATAGTATTGTCTGTCCACGCCCAATGCTCCACTTCCAGATGGGAGAGTGCTTGAGTAATTCGCTGCATAAGTTCTGCCAGTAAGGCTGCTGCGCAAAGCTCCAATCGGGGCAGCGAAACTTGTTTAATCGGCGTCACTCTTGTCTTTGCAGCCACGAGGTTCACCAAAATGTTTCCTTCTTCGTCTCTTGCTCTGCTGTACACCACAGCACCGTACGCCATCTCGGAAGCATCCGAAAACCCATGTAACTCTACCTTGCCGTTGAAGCTCGCGATGAATCGTGGAATGCGAATCTGTTCGACGAGGTGAAGGTTTTCCTTAATATCTATCCACATTGTCTCGATAGCAGGAGGAAGTGGATCATCCCAGGAAATATCACTCAACCACAGTTGTTGAAACATAATCTTGACCTTCACAATCACTGGAGACAGCCATCCAAATGGATCGAACAGCCGTGAAGAGTCCGAGAGTAACTGACGTTTACTATTCACGTTATCTGGTGAGAGACTAACCTTGAAGGAAAAGACGTCTTCCTTAGGCAGCCACTGTATCCCTAGTGCCTTGACAGCGTCTGGATGCTCCGCCAGTTTAACGTCTATTGGTGCTTGCTCTGCATCTTCCCCATCTCGTAGAAGTTCTGAACGATTGGATGTCCATTTACGTAGGTTGAATCCCGCCGATTTCATGATCTCGATAACTTGGTTCTTTAGCTCCCTTGCTTCATCCATGTTCTTCGCACCTGATAGGAAATCGTCGACGTACATATCCAAAACAATCCTCTCCGCTGCGCCTGGATACATCGAGCTGTAATCCTTCGCTGCTTGTCTCATGGCTTCAATTGCTAGGTATGGTGCAGACTTCGTCCCGTATGTGACAGTACAGAGACGATAATGTTTGATTGGCTCACTTGAGTTCTTACGCCATACAATCCGCAAGTAATCTCTGTCTAGTGGATGCATCCATACTTGACGGAACATCTTTTCCGCATCTGCTGCGAACGCCACCTCATTTGACCGAAAACGCAAATGAACAGAGAAGAGTTCCTGGTTCACGTTTGGTCCGGCTAAGAGCCGATCGTTGAGAGACACACCAGATTCGGACGCACTGGAGGCATCAAAAACTACCCGAAGTTTCGTCGTCGTGCTCTCTGCTTTCATCACTGCATGGTGGGGGAGGTAGAAACTTTCACTAGCCTTCACGCTTACTTCGTTTTCCGGTACCTCCTCCATATGGCCTAGAGCGAGGTATTCTTCGATAAAATCCGAATACTGCTTGTGGAATTCTGGATTCCGGTCGAAACGTTTCTCCATCGATCTCAACCGTTTGATGGCTGCCGTGAGTGACTCTCCCAACGCAGGCTTCGAATCGTCGAAAGGAAGTCGCACGATGAAGCGTCCCGAATCGTCCCGAGAGAGTGTGGACTGGAAGAACTCAGCCGCCGCCTGTTCCGAAGGAGTAAGCTGTTGTGGCTTTGGAACCTCCTCCTGCTCCCAAAACTGTCGCAATGTGCGGTTGATGTCCACCTCGGCATGTAGATTGATGATGGAGAAATTGTTAGGTACATCTGTCGTATAGATAGCTTGATTACCAGATACGATCCACCCAAATATCGTGTTCTGGGCCACAGAAGTACCGCATTTGTCCTTGACTTGCCCCGATTGGAGAATAGCAAGAAAGACATCCGAACCCAAAATTATATCGATTGGCCCCGGCTGGTTGAATGCCGGATCCGCTAGCGTTTCCTGAATCTCCTTCTCCAACAGCTTCGTGTTCACCTCGACGCGTTGAGCAGGCAACGTTGACGTCAGCTTACCCATTACGAACGCACTAGTTCGTAGAATTACCGTTTCGTTGAACCGATTTGCCATGATAAGCTTTACGACTCCACGAGTTGTCCCTGCATGCTGCTGCCCTAGTCCAGAGACCGCTACTTTTCCGCTTGTACGAGGAATACTGAGTTTGTTGACGCAGGCTTCTGTGATCAATGATGCTCCAGAACCCGAGTCAATCAAAGCACGAACCTTCAAAAATCCACCGTCGATGGTTTGCACATTGACAAGCGCTGTCGGTAGTACAAACGCTTCCTTCATTAGTTCTGGTGGAACCTGAGTGACCAGTGAGTTGACTACAGGATCTGAATCTTGCGCTCCTTGTACAGACTGCTTCGGCTCGGTAGAACATTCTTCATGCTGATCTGATCCATCTCCCTTTGGGCACAATAGCGTATGGTGCCGTTGTTTACAGTCCGCATTGCGACACACCGATTTCGAGGTACACACTCTCACTGAATGCGAAGGACGTAGACAGTTATAGCACAACTTCGCCTGTTGTACTAGTTCACGTTTGCACTGTAGGTCCATCTTCTTAAAATCTTCACACAGATAAATCGGATGCTCACTGGAGCATTTCGCGCACTTTTGTATCACTGAGTTCGTATACAACGACTGCATCCTTTTCTCCGGCTGAGACATCTTCTTCACAGGATCCGCTGCATGCTTCGAAAAGGCCATACAGGTTTCCAGCGCGTCGCACCGGTTGTCCAAAAATTTCAGGAACTCCTCGAAGGACGGATTCTCAACGTCGATTATCTTCTGAGCCCACAAGGATCTGGTATCCTTATCCAGCTTCTCCAACAACAGGTGGATCAGCCACGGATCTCGCTGATTGTACTCCTCTCCCAGAGCATTTAGTTGTCGAACAACCTCATCCGAAGTTGTGACCAGTTTGCGTAGGCTTGCGGTAGTGGCGGTGTTGACCACAGGCTGGTCAACGAATTCACGAACAAGAGCAAAAAGCGTATATTTTTTCTTGTCGTAGAAGCTTGAAAGAGCCGCCCACGCTTCCTTGTAATTAGCGTCCGATATTGGGAATGAACTTACCAGACGTTTGGCATCACCCGCCAGATACGACACCAAGTACTGCATTTTCAACGAATCGCGCAGATCGTTGCGTACGTGGATTATCTGCTCAAAAATATCTTTGAAGGCTCTCCAATTCTTTCGCTCACCATCAAAAGTTGGTACACTGATCGGAGGAAGTCGCACATTTAGGAGGGGTGCATGATTCGACACCTGTTCTCCTCCAGCTGGATCCACACCACGACCATTATACGCGAAATTTCTACTGCTGCTTGCCATCGATTGGTTCACCATCAATGCTCGCTGAGTTTCCAACAGCATTTGCATCGCTTCCCGAAGATCTCTGCTAGAACCAGCCACCGATCGGTAGCTTGCAGTGGAGCCCCGATTTGAACTGGTGACGGAACCTTCCTCGTCGCTTTCGTTGTTGCCCTGGGAAATGTACCGCTCAAGGGCATCCTTCGCTCGATAATAGTACGTGTTGAATTCCTCCCGAAAGTTATGCACCGAGGTAATTACTTCCGGGTCCGTTTGATTCTCCTCTATCTCGCTTTGCGTCTGCCGGAATTTTATTGTGAGCTCCTTAAGCTGCTCGAGCCGATCTTCCACTTCCCCATGCGATGCATTTCGCTCGTGGATTGTTTCGGCTGCAGCTGACTCCCCCTTCATTTGCACCAACTGAGCATTTCTACGACCGATCAACTTATCCATCACGATTCGCGACGTTATCCGGTTCGAAGGACCAAATGTACAAAACCGAATTCCGACGGAACACGGAGACAAGGAAAAAAACCGACGATGTCACTTTGCTAATTCAACTTTTTAATTTTCTCTGTTTTTTGTTGTTTACAGTTCGATGGTTTTACATGTTATGTTTTTGGAAGGAAAAAACATGTGCGAATCGCTTCTGCACTGACAGATGGGTGCAAGGTAGATGCGGATGTGGTGTACGATTAGAATTGGGGGCTCTCGCACCGGAACATATATTGTTTGTGTTTTGTTTTATTGAAATAGTATAGACAGGTTTCTTACTTGTTTTTATATTCTTGAATTAAAAAAATACTACACAAATACCAAAAAAGAATGTAATATTGATTGACGTAATACTGTATGAATAAGTAATGTTATTGCAAAACAAATACAATATTACAAACATGGATATAATTTCTTTTCGCAAATTATGTGTAGGATAAATGCACCAATGGTGGCTTATAGAGTCTCCCTAAGCCGCTATAGAAGTACATTGTACTAACGTACCTCCACTTTTGGTGCATTTACTAAACATTAATTGTACAAATTAATACTAAACAACCTATGTGCATCTGTTCTGCTGTAATATTCAATAACTTTTTTGCTGTGCCGACTTATAAGTACCAACCCCCAAGTTTGAACAATCAAAAATATCATAAATCAATAAGTACATAAAAGGGATTCCAGATGGATAAATAGATAAAATAATAATGTGTATAATTTGTAAGCACCTGGATTTTTTTTCATCCGGCCTGGAAAAACCTGGAAAACTCAGGGAATTTGATTCCTTAGATTGAGTAGACACCCTGTTAATTTAATTTGTTGTATGAATTAATTTCAAATAGACCGGGGAAGGCCCTCTGTACGCGAAATATACGCCCATATTTCGATCAAAACGGATTTCCCATTCAAAACAAATGTCGAATGAATCCGTTTCGATCGAAATTGACACCGACTCTGTGGGGTTTGGTAGATGTGGGTGATGGGCATTCACTTGTTAAACCAGCACTACTCCATTTCCGTCTAAAATTGCACCAAGAGAACTAACGCCACCATTCCATTCCCATCCGCAGGATCTGAAAATCAGCGAGGACAAAACCCTCCGTAACTACACCGTCGATATGAGCCTCTTCATGAACCCGTCGCCGTACAGCGTCAACCTGAAGACTTCGGTTCCGCGCATCTTTCAGCTATTCCGGGCATTGGGCTTGCGGCACTTGGTAGTGATAACGCGGGAGAATCGTATTCGCGGCATCATCACACGGAAGGACTTCCTTCGGGAGCTGTGATTGAGTGTGTGACCCCCCACTGGGTAGGAGAATGTGATTCTCACTTGTCATTAAGTCGTTTTAGTGTTTTGAGAGTTGAATCATGGCATCTATTTGTCCCCAATGTTGCTTAAGACTGGTTTAAGTGTTATCCTAAATGATGTGCCGATTGACGCGCGGATCGCGAAGTTTGCTATATTTTACGAATAATTACGAGATTGAATTCGAATCGATTCGTTTTATGGAATCAACAGAAGTGAAAATAAATAAGAACCAATTTAAGTGTACGCACCTAGTTAAGCGACCGTTTGAAGAAAGTCCCATTGTACACGCTAAACCGGTTCCGTTTTCGAAAGCGTGTAAAACCCTTCTCGCCCACCAACAATCCAAAGGCAATGCCGAAGCCCCAGCCCAGCAAGGTAAGTGCAGGCCAAATGTCGACGATCGAAACGGGAATGAAACTGCTTCCGCCGTTACAAGGCGGCTTCCGGGAGTAGAGCATCGTATGTTCCCGACCCTGGATGCCGAATTCACGCAACCTGAACAAACTGAGCCGAACCAGCTCCCGGAATGAGGAATTCTTCTGCACTGCGTAGTACGGATCGACCATGTTCAGGAAGTTAATTTCTTGAAGACCACACTTTTCGTCCTCCTGGAACGTCTCGCTGATGATCTGAAAAACAAAAATTCACAAATGAAGAAATATCCTTGCATAAGTTTAACATTCGCTACTCACCTTATAGCAAACGCCCAACTCCCCATGAAAAGCATACAAACCCTGCCGAACCCTCTCCATGCCTTTCTCCAGTGGAACAAAACGTATCTTGCCTTCATTGATCGCCTTCCTAACGGGCTCCGTGCCGTGCTGTGAAGCGATCAGTTATCAATGACGATATAAAAACCAACTTGAACTCACCATGAAGTAATACCTATTGTACACGGTATCGTGGACTCCCGTCACCAACCTCGAGTTCAGCAGTTCCTCCACCGTCCGGATCTTGTGCGACGGCGACTGAATCAGCGCCACAATGTTGGCCGAATAGCTAGCGTACAGGAACATCAAAATGATCAAACTCAGCAGGATCAGACATTTCGACGGAAGAGACTTCGGTTCCAGGTACGATCCCTGCTGGCACGAAGTCCCGAACATGTTCATCACAGCGTCCATCAAATTCGGACGAACACCGCTGCCGTAGCGAACGTTGGTGCATTGAAGCTCTACCTTCATGATGATCAACAGAAGAATGCCGGATAGGATGATGAAACTGATGATGCATAGCCAAACGGACCCGTTAAACGGCATCAGGAACACGTTATCCGTGACGGAAAGATTGGGTGATCGAAAAATAAACTTGGCCCGAGTTGGAGTGGTCATCGAGAGGTAATCGATCTCCTTGATACGATCGGTCGTTATAAAGAGCGCAGTCCCGCCTAGATCCGCTGCGTCGCTTTGTAACTCACCGATCATTCCACTGAATCGATCGGTTTTCGGGTCACGGTAGCCCCACGTGTTGACGTACCTGAACTGGAGGGTTGCGTTCAGGTCTTGGGCCAAGTATTTCGTCAGGAAGTAGTTCTGCTTGGTGATCGTATCTATGTGCTTCTCGCGGTAGTCTTCCAAGTGATTTATAGTTTCGTTGTTAATTATCACCAGCGTTGCTCGAAGCTTGAAGTGGTTCAAGTTGTGACGACGAACCGATGATTTGTCGGAGTGTTGCAAATTGACGATCATCCCATGGTTCCAGTAGCCGACGGTTTCCTCGATCAGTTCGGATTTCAGCGAATGACGATATACTGAAGAATTGAAAAGATTAGGTACCAGTTGTGCGTGAGTTATTTAGGATTGACGGGCACCTTGTTTGACTGAGTATCCTTCGATACCATCTTCTTGACATAGATAGTAAACCTCGTTACTGATCAGCACGTGGAGGTCGTGAAAATATTCCAAGAGTTTTCGACAATCTGAGTTCTTCCTATTCACCACAATCCATTTAACGCGATAGTATAACATTTGTCCGGAGGACCGCAAGAGCCGCTTCGATCGAGAGCAACCAGCATCGATCACCAGCAGAGGCTGATGCTGGTTGGGATCGTTCCACGGTAGATCACGCCCGTCTTCGTTCACGAATCGAACTGCTAATGCGGTCGATTGGATTGCGTTAATCGCCTTCCAGAAATGTAACTTTTCACTTTCCTCCCAGCAGGACAGAACGGTCACCTGAATGGGACACTTGATACAGTGTATCAAGTCCACTACGGCTGAGAGCAACTTCGAACTGGTGGCATGGCCAGCCCTCGTCAGTAGAAATACGGTGAGAATTCCGACTAGCGACTTCATTGTGCTCCAAATAGTCAAGTCCTGACGCTGGAAAGTCAGTTTTATACCGGGATTGTATCGGATTCAGAACCAAAACCATACAATTTCAGCATGAAATATGGATCTTCCGTTGAAATGGAATTTAGTTCACAACAACCTTCAATCGAAAATGATGAAATATGTTTTAAAGAGAAGCAGCTACTGCAGGTGGGGGTTTGTTGGCGTGTCACATCAATAAGCTATGCCTTCACCAAAAACAGAAGGGAAGTTGCGCAATTTCCCCGCCCCGGATTCGATGAAAGAATAAAAAAAAATTGGAACTGACCATCCGTGACTGAGGGACAAGCCACGACCTCATTACGAATTCTGAACCGTCTGCGCTTTAGCGTTTGTGTATACAATCAGACCCCAATTAGACTTGATAATGAAACTACAACAGCTACCACCGGTGGCAGAGCAGGTGGATCGTGAAAAATGCATCTATAAAACAAAACATCTATCTATTGAATCAATCAACCATAATGCGCGAAAAGTGGCTTTGCGATGGGGGAGGAGGCAGGGGAGCAGAGGCGGATAATCAACGGTTATGAATCGTCGTAACCCGCTATCAGTTGATTCATCTAGCAGTGGAAAATTATACAATTTGAACGCTACTAGCTACCTAATCGGACGCGGCGCGCTTCTTGTTCAATGGGGCCGTTTCTAGATCAGACAACACCGGTAAGACCTGATATGAGTCTGTTGTGGACTCAAACCCAATGCAGAACTTTCATCACTTCGGTGGACTCCGGTAACCCAGATTGATTGGACAATTTTTGACCTGTGATTATCTTAAATAAATGAAAGTAAATTCGGATGGGTGTTTTTGAATTACATAAATGATAGAATAGCTATAGATTGCATCGATTTGTTTACACTTGGTACTTAGGACCTTTTAAAAAGTTAGCGAGATTTCTACTTATTTTCATCGTCTCTTTCTTATTTTCGATATGATCGGTACAGTTGAAAACCAGAATAACCCACTAGCGACAATCGATTTTATGCTCATTCTGTACGTTGAACATAGTGTCGGAAGTAGTGCGCTGAATAGCGCATCATCGTGCGATTACAGCGCACTACTTCCACCACTATGTTTAACGTACAGAGCGAGAGTAAAATCTATTGTCGCTAGTGGGTTATTTCGGTTTTTAACTGTACCGATAATAGTATATATTTGAAATTCTGTGAAGACATTTTTATCTCGCAGACACTTTGCAGACATTTCATATTTTGTGGAGATTTTTGAAGACATGTTGAAATTATAGAATTATAATTGATGGGAAAAGGGAATCTTAAGCAGTCAAGTGATGCTTTTTGCTGTAAACATGAAGATTTTGACTCCATAGTTCAAACTCTTCCTTTATGCAAATGTTGATTGTGAATAATGTTTTCAACAACATTTTTCTTTTTTCAAAACAATACTTGATCAACCTGAAGTCTTAAAAAAACCACTAGATTTTAATGAGATCATCGATTAGCTCGAGGTCTTTCGCATACTTCTTTATCAACCTGCCATGTAAGGAGAATATCTGAGACGGCATTTGCATTTTTCAAGAGTTGAGATCTTCAGAATAATATTTGTTGTTTATTTGATAAGGCTAAATCAAATTGATTTTGCTGAGCCGAGGATTCATGTTCACTATTCAAAACATCTTAAAAATATAGTCAGAAACTACACCACAATAAACACTTTATATTCCACTATCCAATAAGCCTCCTCCATCATTGTATGGCAGTATCGCCAACGGGGGCAGAGCGCTTCCATTGCAGCAATGGACGCAAAATGTGGTTTTCACTCACACACTCATCACGAAAAGGTTGCTTTCCAAAGTCGACGACGCATCGACCGAAAGAATTGCTGATGAAGAACAATGAGGAGGACCACACAATGGTTGCTTCGGAGTAAACAGTCGTTCGCGTGACACACATCTGTCGACAGCCGAGTGAACACATTAGAATAATATTTTACCAACCTAAAGAATTGGAAAATATTTATAGGGTTTCATTGATATTTTAACAATAATCCGTGAATCTTGAGCTTATACTCAGAGCCATGAACTTAAACAAAGCTCCCTAAGTATACCTGAGCTTTTCTGAACTTGTGAGAATTTCCGTCAACTTCTGTGAAGTTCCCCTCATTTCTTCGATTTCAGGGTTCACTGTCACAACTTGTCGAATTCCTATAACTTATACAAAGATTCCTGAACATCTACAAGAACTTCTAGAATCAATCCTGATGAATGTGGGCGTCTTAGTGGAATACCTGTATAATGAGAGAGAGAAGGATTAGTATTTTCCATTTAATTCCACTACTTTATTTGCTTATCCTTGACAGATACGCGTATTTCGTCTACAATGTGCAGACTTCTTCAGTGTCTTGTACTAATACTCGACTGGTCGACTAGTCGAGTATTAGTACAAGACACTGAAGAAGTCTGCACATTGTAGACGAAATACGCGTATCTGTCAAGGATAAGCGAATAAAGTAGTGGAATTAAATGGAAAATACTAATCCTTCTCTCTCTCATTATTCTAGAATCATTTTCTTAACTTCTACAAAATTCCATAATATGTTTTTGCAAGCTCTCTTAACTCTACCAAGATTTCACAACATCTGTGAGATTCTCCGAACTTCAGAAAATACGCTAAACCAATTCTACGAATATTCCTGAACATCTAGGAAGTTCCTAAACCTTCCTGAATATTCATTGAGTGTTTTAAGTAAGATCTCTAACAAACGGCCTCGAAGCTCCCTAAACTGATACGTAGATCCCTGACGCTCGTCTATGAAGTTTAACAAACTTCCTCGAATTGCTACGTAATTCGCCAATTTTTTACAAAGTTCGCTAAACTACTACGAAGCTTGCTGCATTTCTACAAAGTTCGCTGCTCTTCTCGCTGAGTTTCCTCGATGCTCTCTGAGGTTCTATGAACATGTACAGAAGTCCCTAAACTATTTCAAGTCCATGAATCTTCAACGAAGTGCCCTGCCATTAATACAAGGTTCTATCAAACATATATTATAGCAAACATGCCCTTAGCTTCTACGAAATTCATTAACTATGTTCTAAGTTTCCAGTTCTACAAAGTTTCCTGAATTTTAAAAATGTTTCTTGAATTTAAAAAAAAAGTTCCCTGTATTTCAACAAAGTCTCGAACATTTATATTAAGTTTCCTGAATGTGTACGAAGTTTGCTAAATTTCTAAAAAGTTCAATGAATTCTCACAAAGTTAACTGAAGTTTCTAAAAGTGCGCTGACCATCTACAAACGTAGCTGACCATTTGCTGCAGTTCTTATTACAGAATTTCCTGAACTTTTACGAAGTTTTCCAAACTACTACGAAGTTCATCGACTTCAAATGACGGTCCCTTAAATTCCCTGAACTTCTGTAAAGACTTATACCAACAATCAATACGAAACTAACGTTTTTAAATTGGCTCACCACTTTAGTAGCCTATTGGTCCCAAGCAAACGATTCTTCTTCTTCTTCTTTCCTTTATTTAACGTCGGTCTCTGTTCCGCAATCTAGTGCCAATCACCGACGGACATCGTTTGCCATCCATTGACGGCAATCGAATGTGCAGGAAGGCAGCTTCCACACCTGCGTAGGATATCGCACCCATTCAACAAACATGGGCCGGGACCAACGGCTTTACTTCCCTTCCGAAGGAAGACGTGACCAGAGATTTTTATGCCTCAGAAAAATTCCACCGACCTCGGCTGGGATTGAACCCAGATCCATTGGGGTGTTAGAAAGCAGTCACGCTTACCACTACACCACCGGCGCCGGCAAGCAAACGATTAACGTACCCTATTCTAGTTGAAATTCTATTACTACACTATGTTTGTTTTGATTCGCTATGAAAGTTTGACAGATAACATCAGGGGTGTGTGGATTCATGCAGAACATGCAGGGGTGAGTGAAAAAGCTTGGGACCGTTGTTCTGGTACTGAGTGAGCCAAAAATAATAATGATTTTCTTCGGGACCCAGTGGTCTTAGAGTTACCTCTATGCTTATACCATAGAGCTAAGACCAGAAGGTCCCGAAGAAACGTGCGCAACTTTTTGGCTCAGCTCTGGTACTATCTTCGGTCCCAAGCTAATCGATTCACCCCTCGAAACATAGGAAAATCCACTAACCCCTCATTTTATCTGTCAAACTTTCATAGCGAATCAAAACAAACATTGTTTAGTACTAGAATTTCGATTAGAATCGGGTACGTTAATCGATTTGCTTGGGACCAATAGTCAAGTAGTGAGCCAATTTAAAATCGTTAGTTTCGTATTGATTGTTGCTACAGACTATGGATTATATCATGTAATAACGTTTGCATTAAAAAATGGACTTTTTTTTCGGATGGTGATAAAAAAAA